GCATTTTGTAATACTTGGAAATTTGGTAGTAATCACCATGAAATTGAATACATAAATATGTACATTTTTTAATTTTGAGATTGATTTATTTGCAAACGGGGAGGTGCATTGTGACTATATATAAAAATTAAAATAAGGGAACAAAGAACTGGGGGCRGGGAAGGGAACAAGTTCTATATGTGAAGAGTGAGGGGAGTAGGATTTTGTCAACAAACCAAAAAATTGSGTGTTAGTATCAAACATGTATGGAAGGTAAACTAGAAGAAGTGAAAAKGGCTTTCTTAATAAGTTCTATATGGATATAGGTATCAACAGTGAGTGGCGAGTCATATATGACTTAAGCATTAGTTTGCAGTGAGGGTTTGTTGAAAACTCTATGAATTCTATTTTGGAAATTATGTCAAAWTTTTGATTGTCAAGCCTCTTAATGTCTTTTGATTTTCTAGTAGAAGAGATATCCACATCTCTCTTATTTGTAGTTTGTCAATATGTTTCGTCTTATATGCTAAATTTATACTATATTTGTGATAAATTTGCATTGAAAATGAATCTTGAGACTTCTAAATTTGAGTTTGAATGCAATTACTTCTTGATTCAGTTTTGGTTTTTGATTCAGATCATTTGATTTTTATGAATCTAGTATCTTTTTTTTTTGCTCTACTAAAATGTTGGTCAAATAATCAAAATTGGCAGATGTATGCTAAATCCACCCATATTTGTAGCTTATATCTCCAAATTTAGAATAAGTGATAACTGGATGGGCTGTAATCAATTAATTTTGTAGTAGTGCAAAGAGAAAGAGTAGCGTGAGGGTTGAATTTATGGGCCRGAGGGATTTTAGTTTCATATTGGAGGCACCATATTCATGTTTTATCCCTTTACTTTTCTATRTAACTTAAYTTGATGTCTGTTGTTTTGCAGCTTGGTGTCTTTCTGAACCRGAGAGTTTTAGACCTTAAAGTTTTCCAGYTTTGGACTCGTCGTCTAGTTGTATCGGCTGGTCTTCTTAGAATCTTTGGTCGTGAAGTTGTTGAGCTAYCTATAGTTGCCACTGGTAGAMAACATCAGGGCTGACCACCGCGCTCTTCGTCAATCTTTGGGTACTATCCCTTTCTATCTTTCCTTAATTAACCATATAGGGTTTGACATTTAGTTTCTGTTGGTACATTTATGAAAGTATTTTATTGTGTTGGGAGATGTGGTAAAATTGTTTAATGATGTAGAAACTTGTTGGTTATGCTAAGTTCGTCAGTGGATTTGAGAATGAACTGTTGCATGGTTGTTGTGTGGAGAGTGTATCATGAGTTCGTAAGAACGATGTATATAACCTTGTTGGCTCTGCTAAGTTTGTTAGTGGGTTTTAGTTGGGATCTGCTTCTGCTAGAAACCGAAATCGTTGGATGTTGCGATTCATTTTTTTTTAAAGCATGCTGGCGTTGTTTTGGTTTAATGTTTGGAATGATCCCATGAAAGCTTGAAAATGGATGCTGGATTTCTTTGTTTGAGTTTAAAGCGTGCTATATTGACATATTTGACTTCTTTTCTTGATTAATGATGCGGTCTTGGTAATAAACGTTTGGAATTTAATATTTACAAGTTGTGTTTTTTATGCTACGCACGTCTTATTGANAACATCAGGGCTGACCACCGCGCTCTTCGTCAATCTTTGGGTACTATCCCTTTCTATCTTTCCTTAATTAACCATATAGGGTTTGACATTTAGTTTCTGTTGGTACATTTATGAAAGTATTTTRTTGTGTTGGGAGATGTGGTAAAATTGTTTAATGATGTAGAAACTTGTTGGTTATACTAAGTTCGTCAGTGGATTTGAGAATGAACTGTTGCATGGTTGTTGTGTGGAGAGTGTATCATGAGTTCGTAAGAACGATGTATATAACCYTGTTGGCTCTGCTAAGTTTGTTAGTGGGTTTTAGTTGGGATCTGCTTCTGCTAGAAACCGAAATCGTTCGATGTTGCGATTCATTTTTTTTTAAAGCATGCTGGCGTTGTTTTGGTTTAATGTTTGGAATGATCCCATGAAAGCTTGAAAATGGATGCTGGATTTCTTTGTTTGAGTTTAAAGCGTGCTATATTGACATATTTGACTTCTTTTCTTGATTAATGATGCGGTCTTGGTAATAAACGTTTGGAATTTMATATTTACAAGTTGTGTTTTTTATGCTACGCACGTCTTATTGATCTTCTGTCGTCAACATTTTAGTAGTGARATGKATAAGTCATGGATGAAGAAAAATAGATTGTCCAAAGAGTATGAAGTGRGAGTTCAAACATTCATTGAATTTGGGTTGAGTCATGCCAATGGTTCTAATTCCATCCGATGTCCTTGTTTGAAGTGTGGGAATCTTATATGCAAGGACATAGCAATCGTTAGAGATCATTTATATTCAAATGGTATTGACCAAAGTTATARGGTATGGTTTTGGCACGGAGAAGACTTAGGAAATATCCCGGCCGAGCAGACGTACAATAATGATGCACTCGAGAGTGATGAAGATGATCTCGACTTTTTTGAGGTGGGTGACTTGGTTCAATATGTTCAGGATGAATTCTCTGATGTACCAAAATCATTTGAAACTATGTTTCATAATGCTAAGAAGCCATTGTACCCCGGATGTGGAAAGTTTACAAAAGTATCAGCTCTTGTAAGGTTATACAACTTGAAGGTGAGATTTGGGTGGAGTAACTCGAGCTTTTCTGAACTTCTGTCCATAATAAGTGATATATTACCAGACCCTAATGAAATGCTGACTTCTATGTACGAAGCAAAGAAAACGTTGTGTGCCCTTGGTTTGAGTTACGAAAAAATTGATGCATGCCCGAACAATTGTTGCTTGTATAGAAAGGAGTACGCAGATATGTCTAAATGTCCTAAGTGTAATTCGTCAAGGTGGAAAACACATAAGAATTCAACGAAGGAGAAAGGAGTTTCTGCTAAGCAAATGTGGTACTTTCCAATTATTCCAAGGTTTATAAGATTGTTCAGGAACTCAGGTAATGCAAAGAATCTGGTTTGGCATTCGATAATTTATTTGGAATGCATAGATCACATTGGATATTGATAGTGATTGATTACTCGAAGACCATGGTGTATTCAATCAACCCTTTGAGAA